TCTCTTGATAGCGTCATCCACAATGTTGGTATTGAAGTGCGGCGGCGACGTTCGCGAGGTCCAGGTCCAGTACTCTTTACCAGTTGAGAATTCAGCTGATCCATCCGTGCAACGAACACGTCTGATCGGTGGCCTCCCTCGAGGACGTTTTACTTCGCGAAGGATCCATTCCAGAATTCTTAATGTCCATCTGTCGTCTGTCCTTCTCATTATTGGACAGCCCATCGATGTTTTGCCCTAGAGACGTATTCCGCTGAATCGCGAAGACGTGACATTGATCTCATATCCGAATTGCGAAGTCCAACGAGAAGTTGGGTGATTTGGTTGAACATCAGAAGACGTCGTTCCAACGCTCTGTGGGTTGTTAGGAGTGCTTTCGACGTAGTCACACTGTCAGGCCATGTCTCTGCTGCGTAGCAGAGCGCAGGGAGAACAATTGAATCGAATAGGGGGCTCGGAGCTCTGTTAGGTCCGTCAGCTGGTCTGTGGTTTCCTTTAGGGGCCCGAAGGCGGCCCAAGCTGCTCTTTGCCTCCTGTTTAGTTCCTCTTTCAGATAGTTCTCTATGTTCACTGAACGCCTGAGATATACGTAAGAAGACGTCTCCGCGATTGGAGAGCCTTCTAATTCCATATACTGATCCTCGCAGAAAGCGTTCTTCATGAACTGAGTCTTCTTCCGGTTGATTCGCAGTCCTATCCGCTTCCCTACTTCGTTCACCAACATCGTCTCCTCTTCAGTGATATTTCTCGAGAAGAGAACAATGTCGTTTGCAAAACGAAGATTCGAGAGGAATCTCCCATCAACTCGTGTACCTCCTTCGTTCCAGTCCAGTGATTTCATCACTCACTGCAACGCGGCGGTAAACAGCTTTGGCGACATGGTTTCGTCTTGTCACACCCCTTTCGAGATTGGTATGTTAAGGGGACGATGGAAAAGCTGTACCGTTGTAGCGCAATTCCCGTAGCAGTCGGTCAATGTCTTCACGTAAAATGGGTCCACCCCTTGGTCGACGAAAGCTGACAGTATGGCTAGCTCGACGCTGTCAAACGCTTCCTAGTGGTCGACGAAGGTTAGGACGAGAGGTAGGCGGTACTCTCGGCAAACCTCGATGATCCTCGAAACTGTC